TTTAATAACAAAGAACAGCCTTTCCCAAGAATACACAATTGGCAACATGATACCACCCTATCAAAAAGACTGGTAACAGGATATGTTAAACTTTTTGCATGAATAAAAATAGCATAAGATTTTGTTTTGCAAATATTTCAGTATCACAGCAAAAACTTTTATATATTTGTCAGTTTAGGAATTTATATTTCTCAACACAACAAGAAGTAGAATTTGAATAATATCCAGGTCCTCTGGTATTTAATTTTATTGGGACCATGTTGGAAAATCCAGTTTCACCCCAAGCATCTGGATCTAAGCTGAAGTAATGCTCTTAAAGCTATTTCACCTAATTATTACTTTTTGGGATGAGTTGAAGTAAATAAAGGAACAGCCCTCCCAAGCTCTCCGCTGCTTCTCCTGCCTTCTACCTGTGGATGCCAGAAGGAAAAGGGTGATAACAGGCCAAGAGTCTTGATGCAAAGCCACTGGGAGCTGCAGGATGTCTCCTGCTCTGAAGTGCCTCATATCCAGCACAGAGCAGTCATGGATTTTTATAAAAGGTGGAAAGCTTTGCATAATTCCATTGCATTAAATCCTAGTGATAGAGGAAACATTGGCTGTTAAAAATTTCTCATCTGAACTCTTTCAGAAGAGTAAGAGGAAATTATGGGCAGGGTAAGAGTGAGTGAAAAGATATTAAGAGTAAAAATGTGAACAGAAAATTAAAATTGTCTTTAACTTTTAGCAAGAAAAGAGAGATCAAAACAAGGCTTTCGAGTAAAGTAAAACAAGATCACTATTGGATCCCAAAAGGAAATTTTGATGCTTTCCTAGATGTGGCAATAGTCTGTTGGTTTCTGTTCAGTTCCTGTGTTGTAGTCATCTCCAGCGTAATGCCTTCATTTACTGAGAGGTACAGATTTCCTCATGAGAACATAACATACTGGAAAGTGGTGAGGTCAGTTTTATTACCCAAAACTGTGGCAGGAACTACCATGGACAGGATGGAGTTTCGATTATCTACCTGCAAAGCCATAGGGAAAGGAGACTCCATGTTTTCTCATTTGGTCATCCCATTTGCAAAGCCTTACATAGACAAGGAGCTTTTTAAAGCCACCATTTACATGAAGACTAGTGGTCTCTAGAGAGATTGAACAGTCAAAGAAAATGATACATAAGAATCAAGAGAAAAAGCAGAAATAACAGCTCACTTACATTTAATACCCGTTTATTGATGGACTACCAAAAAAGTACAATGTAGTTTCTGAGACTTAAGTTAGATGTACAGCCATCACACTTCCTAGTGCTGTGGCTTTTAAGACATTGAGTCTTTTTTATTATCTCTAAATTATCTTTAAATAAATACACATATATTGAGTGTTTTCTATATGCTCTGTATTATTTAAAGTACTTTACATATATTAATTCATTCGATTTCCATATCCCCAATGTGGTAGATACTGTAACTTTCTTGTTTTGGAGATGAGAAGCATTGGGGCACAAAGAGATTAAGTGGTTTCCCCAATAAATGAGAACCAAGGCTTGAAACCAGCGAGTCGAGGTGGTAATCCATATGGATATCCAGTGCATAAAGAGACTTTAAATGAGGCTAAGAAATAAAAACGATGGTATTAATCTCTGTTCTACCTACCTTCCCAGCTGTTATGAGGATCAAATTCATTCTGTCTTTTAATAAATATTTACTTAAATTTAGGCACTTTGTTAACAAATAAGACAGTTTCTGTGTGTTCAAGGGAACTAAAAGATGTGTAAGTCAACAGGCAGTTTTAACAGCTTCTGATAAGGGCAGTTGTAGAGAGTTATGCGTGGGACTTTGAAAGGTCTGGCCAGGCGGGGTGAGCAGCCCACTTTGAGGATGTTACAACTTAGCCAGAGGAGTCAGGCAGGCAGCAGGATGTGCAGGATGTGCTAACGGACTCTCTAGTTGTGGGGCAGCATTTGCGGGAACCACAGCTCAGCATGGTTTTGGCAAAGAATGTGAGGGATGAGGAAGTGGTGAAAGAGGAGATGGAGGAGGGAGCAGGAACTGCGTCATGAAGGGTCTATGCTAAGAAATTGGCCTTAATGCTGCAGACAAGCAATGGGGAGCCACTCAAGGCTTTGAAGCAGGAGAATACATAATCAGACATGTTTTTGAAAGATAGCTGTGATTGAAGTGTGAAGAATGGTTTGGAGGGTGGAGAAGCCTAAAGACTAGTCAGAAGCCAATGGGAAGCTGATTTTGTAATCTATGTAATAGAGGATGGGGATCTACATTAGAGCAGACTCAGTGGGCAATGCATGCATATTTGCAAGTTAGGATCAACAGGAGCTGGTGGTTGATTGTGGGGTGAGGGAGAGGGAGGTTTCAGGCTTGGCCAACAAGATAAGTGGTTGCACCATTCCCTGGCATCAGGAGCATTCTCTTATCACATGAAATACTGTGTGTGAAAATGCTTTGTAAATACAACGCAAATAATAGTTCTCTTGTTTGCAGTTGGGAGGCAGACACAGATATCTTAAAGATGCTGTCACCAGCTGGAAATAAAGACATGCAACCCCTTAATTGCATATGCTCCTTGACTAACAATGGGGTTATGTCCCGATAAACCCATCCTAAGCTGAAAATATCATGAAGTCAAAAATGCTTTTAATACACCTAACCTACCGAGCATCACACCTTAGCCTATCCTACCTTAAACATGCTGAGAACACTTACATTAGCCTATAGTAGGGCAAAATTATCTAACGTGAAGCTATTTTATAGTAAAGTGTTGAATATGTCAGGTAATTGAATACTGTACTTAAGTGAAAAACAGAATGATGGTATGGGTGCTCAAAGTGTGGTTTCTATTGAATGCATGTCACTTTCACACCATTGTGAAGTCAAAAAATCATGAGTCAAACCACTGTAAGTCAGTTTTATATATATATTTTTATATATATATAAAAATATATCTACTAATAATAATATCTATGACTAAATAATTAAGTGTTTTTATGTACCAAGCACTGTTATTAAGAGTTGTACATGTATAATAACTCATTTAATTCTCAAAAAACCCTATTTTATGGATAAAGAAGTTGAGACACGGGAAACCTAATGCTTCACATCTAGTAATAATGCAGCCAAGAAACAAACCGATGCTGTTTGGCTCCAAAATCTGTGTTCTAACCACTATAATATTCATTTTTTTATGAGATAGACTAAAATCAGTTATAAGAAAAGTACAATTCCGTGCACAGTGAGGAAACAGAGAAAGGTGAAATTAATTAATAAATAAAATTTAGAGTGCAGCAATGAAAAGCAGAATTTTTGCCTTCTAGAAAACCATTTCATTGTTTAGAGCCGACCTACACTCGATTCTCAGACTCGATTCTAAGAGTGGAGTTCTCTCGTTTCCAATTATTCTGTAAAATTGTAATGTGCTGCTTTGGTCACTAGATGATGCTCATGCAATGGATCTGAATGTCTGGCCTTGTACCTGAGAGGCACTGCCTTCTCTAGTGGTTTGGGAAATTAAGAAATGCATGTTTCCATAATCAAATGTTTTATTATTTCTATTCCATTTGATTCTTAATTAGTAATTTATGAAGTTATGATTTTAAAAAAATTCAGAATAGCTCCATAAATAATCTGGCCACACTCAAACAGGAGATTTTTTGTTGTGTTTTGTTTCGTTTCCTGATACTTACTGTAAATCATCCGGTAATTTCTCTAACAGCTATTGTCTAAAATACAGCATAAACTTTTGCAGTTCAGATCCTTGAAGGGAGCCAGTTCTGGGGATCTACAAATCCATCTCTTGCTTCTGAATGTTCTGCTCTCCTCAACTTCCAAAGTTCCATAATGATCAAATCATGTTGACATTGTGCTCTGTTAATGTTTGTTTTCCTCCCTTTAATCTTTAGTTTGTGCAATTTTAGGAGCTCCCCAACTCACTCAGCAATCCTTCTGCTCAAGGTACTACATATGCTTGAGATTTGCTTATATTATTTAGCTTTTATCAGATTATTTAGACCCTGGAAATCCAGGAGCCATAGAATATCTGCTTCTAAACTCTAAATACATTATCTTGTCCCCAAATCACCCTGATGTCTTATGAACAATTGAACTTCGCATCAGAAATCAGCACAAAGTGCAGGATCTTTCACCCATCTCAAAGTTCATCCCAAGAAAATGGCTTGGGAAAGGGGAAGTTTCCGATACAGTTCATCGCATTGCATTTGTCACAACTGCTCCTCTCTTGGTTGTTAATCTGTCTCTCCTTTGGGCTTCTCTCCGAGAACCCTGAGCTTCCTCCTTTGGCTCCATATATACTCCCACCTCAGGAGCCTCCCCCTGCCATGGCCTTAACCACCCCTGCTGTTGTAGGTAACTCCTGCAGGATGCAGGAGTTGAATGCCCATGTTTCAGTCTCCGTGCTTGATGTCTCCACCTGGATGGCAGTGAGTACCTTGAAATGCAACGTGTACCTTAAACTGTCCCAACTCCTCCTCACTTTCTTCTTCATACTCACAATTTCACTGTTTTCTCAGATGCCCATTTTTAAAGTTGAAAATAATATTTCTTTGTGACCCCTTATCCAATTAAACGTTGAGTCCTGCAAGACCTCTGGGGTCTCTCCGAGTTGTCTCATCCTGGATTTTATTTTTTTTTCATTTTTGGTCTTACCTATTCCTTCCTATACAAATGACTGAAATATCTCCCTAACTATTCTTTCTAGGTCTGTCCCCTCTCCCGTCCATCCCTCCGCATTCATTGCATTTTCTTTCTCAAACACTTTTCCATCTCACTTCCTATCTCACTAAAACTCTTCACTGGCTCATTTCTTCTTACTGAGTTAAGCACCAACTCATAATCTTTGTCCAGACTGTTCATAATATGGGTTTGGGGGACCTTCTAGCCTTGTTCATAGTTAATATGCTCAGCTCCACCCAAACAGCCACTGAGCATCTCGGGGAGCTTGTTCAGTATTTTCCCTTTTCAATGCTCTTGATCTTGCCATTTCTCTCATTAATAGCGTCTACCATCCTGCCTTTTTAAAGCCTGCCCTTCATGTTGACATTGTGCCTTGTTAATGTTTGTTTTCCTCCCTTTAATCTTTAGTTTGTGCAGTTTTAGTAACTCCCCAACTTATTCAGCAATCCATCTGCTCAAGGTACTACATACGCAAAGTTCATCTGAAACACAACTCACTCACTCAAGCCTTTCCTGTTTCTTCTAACCTGTAACTATCACCTCTCTTTTGGATTCCATTAAGTATCTGTTGTTTGTATTTCTCATTTTATATTTAAAATGTCTCTTACAGTTTTTTGAATATTTTTTTTTCTTCCTTATTGTTTTGATTTGGGTGGATCATGAATTCTGTATAATTTAATTTGTCAACTATGCAGCATCATCATAAAATAGGAAGCATAGTATTTAAAAGCACAGATTTTTGTGCTTTTTATATTTTCAAACAGTCTCAGCTCTTCCACTGACTGTGTGCTAGTTCAGGCTCTGCTTAACTGCTCTGAGGCTTTATGTCATCTATAAAGTGGGAATATTAAGAGTACCTGACTCCACTGCACTCCAGCCTGGACAAACAGCCTGGACAAAAAAAAATTTTTAAAGAGTACCTGCTTCACAGCCTTGTTACAAGTATTAAGTGAGATAATGCATGCAAAGTGCTTAGCACAAGGCCTAGCATACAGTGATCACACAAAGAATTCTTACTCTTTGTCAATATTCTTTTATTGTCACTGTAAAAAGTGGGCACACAAGAAATTTGCTGCATTACGTTGAAAGGAGATTTCTAGCTAAAGACAAAAGTGGAACGAAAAGTATCGTATTATAATAAAAACTCAAGTTAAAAGCCTGTGCTAGAGCAGAGACCCTGGTGGATGTAAGTGTTCAACTCTGAATCCCCATGGTGCCTGGTACAGGCAGGTGCTTAGTAATTACTGGTCGAACTCAGTTAACAAATGAGGTGCCATTTTTGTGGGACGATCATGAGGACAGGGAAGGTAGACCAGACAATGAGGGAAGCTCAATGTCAGCAGCTTCTGTGCTACTATTATGATTCACACGTGATAGAAAATTGGTCTGATTCTATAACTGAAGCTCAGGACAACATGTCTTCTAGTATCTTCAGTAGAGAGCTTGCTGAATGTGGGCTTGAGTAGACTTATTGAAGCTTGTGCCAGAGAGAGAGAAAACTTCTGAAAACACATTTTTGACTCTTCCTTCTATAGATTTACATAACACTAGGTAGGGCTTAATCAGGTCTTTGGGGCAAAATGAATGACAACGGTATGGTTATAGTAGGTTCAGTGGTGCAAGACCATTAAAAGCTTTTCCTTGGGTATTTTAAGAAAGAAGTTATATTAAAAACAAAAAGTAATGGGATTCCCAGACAGAAATCTGTGTTTAAATGGCATTAAAGCTGTGGTTCAAATCAACAAAAGCCAGGAAATCCAACGTTAAACCTTTATCCAGACTGTTACCCCATTTTTTCCAACTGTGTGTGTCCCTGTGAGCAGCCCTCTCTTTGAATTTCCTGGCTCTGGCAACCAAAATCCACAAGTCGCTTTGAATTACAGTACTCTGGATCTGTTATTTAATGGGAATACACCCTGAGGATATATGCTTACTTGCACATGATTTTACGTGTAGTAACTGTAAATCCGGGAGTCATGAATCCGGTACTACTATTTTTTTCTTTCAAGCTTTTGGGATCCCCGCATATGCCTAATTGTGAGTCCTGCCTTATATCCAGGTAGAGGACTTATATAACGTTTGTGTTGCTAACATTGACAAAGTTTAATTTATCTCTATATGTCACAGTTATAATTCAAATGCATTTCTAAATGTTCCTTTTCTCTCTTTTCACCAGACATGGAGATGACTTGATTGTAACTCCCTTTGCTCAGGTAAGTACCTGCTGGCCCTGGCTAGCTCTCACTCTGACGAAGTACAGTCTCTGAACCTGACGCTTTGTCTTCTTTTGTCCCTAATCATTTGAAACGTTTTTCTTATAGGTCCTTGCTAGCTTGCGGAGTGTGAGAAACAACTTCACTGTACTGACAAACCTTCATGGGACATCCAACAAGTAAGCATTGACTTTTTGTGGAGTTATGAATCCCTTCCGTAAAGATAGAACATATTGAGCAACATTTTATAAAAACAGCTACTGCATGGAAATTTGTCCTCCAAGCTAAATCAGGATACACGATAAAATTTGAATGTAGGAAAGAGCACCATAGAATTTTACAACTGGTAAGACATTAAAAGTTATCTGGTCTGGATTTTATTAGCCTTTGTATTTGTAACTCTTTAGTATACAGCAGGAGTTCAACAAATAAAAGAATAAAGATTTTTTTTTGGTTCACTTTTATATTTGCCACTTTGGCCAGTAATAATAATAAATTCTATTAAGTCTTTTGTTAATAAGCTATGAATGAATTCAAATATTCAAACGTAAAGCTACCAAAAAGTTCAAATTCAGGTTGCCTATTTTTGGATAATATATAAACAGGTTCATGTACTTTAATAAATAAGAGTGGGATTATCTTCTCCTCTGCCCTCAACTAACTACATGATGGTGGTCATTTCAATTAACATTGCTGATCCTTGATCTCCTTTAACCTTAAAATAAAGCGTTTGAATTTGATATTCCCTGCACTAACTTTCTTCCCTAAAATCATTTCAATTTATAAGCCTAATTTAAGTGCAATGCAGCTCACTCTTCTGCATGTTTTAAAAAATTATTGCAGGGCTCAGAGCATCACAGGATCTATGATCCTGGAATGTGAGGGCTGGAGGAGACCTTTGAGACCATTGATTGAACCTCTTTGTTTTACAGAAAGAGAAACCTAAGCTCAGAAATCCAACAGCTTGCTAACAACCACTCTATAAGTTAGAGACACATCAGAGCCCAAACCCGAATCTCCTGATTTTTCAAGCAGTGTTCACCGCAGAGTACCCTATCTCTCCAATATTTGTGAAATTATTCTTCAACCGTCTGTTTTGCTTTCATCCAAATTTTCATAGAGTGGGTTTGTTAAAAGAGGGAGTAAACCCTGCTTTGAATGCTTACTTTTCCTTTTGCTGTTCTATAATTTGTTGCTAGGTCTCCTTGTGAAATGACTCTATATACCCTGATGGAGTCTTTCCTGTCCTTGGTCTCTCCTCCTCTAATCTTTTCTCCAGATTACCACCAGAGCGATCTTTCTCACATGCTGTTTGACCATGTCACCCTCTGGCTTGAGGCATTTCAATGGTCCACTGTGATCATTAAGATAAAGTTTAAATGCTGGTGCTTGGCACCCATGACACTTCATGACCCAGCTGCAGTTAATTTGACTGATAGTTGATTGAGTTTATATTTAGTGAAATGTATATGAAATGTAGAGGCTTGTCCCATCCTCTTTTGGAGTGGTACTATCTGTTTATTTATTTGTCAATTAATTTATCCAGCAAATATTTATTTAGTATATACCATTCATTCATGCATGTATGTATGCATTTAACAAATATTTCCTGAGCACCTACTTTGTACCAGGCACTGATGATATAATAGTAACCAAAACAGACAAGTTCTCTGCCCTTTCAGGGCTTACTGTCTAATAAGAAGTGCTGGGGGATACAGTGATGAACAATCAGACCATCTCTCTGGCCATGTAGGAGTATGTTCAACAACTGCAGTCTGTTGTTCCCTGCGTGCTTTCTTCTCCATCCTAATTATGGACTTACCATTTTCTCTTCCTAGAATGTCTCTTTCCACCTGCCAGTGTCTGCCTGGTCAAATCCTGGTTGTCTTTTATGACTCATCTCTAGAATCACCCTTACCAAGATGCTCTCCCTGACCCCACCAAGCCTGGCCGAGTGGCCCTCATTTGGCCCCAGAGCACTCTGAAAACCTTAGCACAGTCTTCATGGATCTCTGCACAGCACTAGACTATGTGCCCCTTAAGAGTGAGAATTGTATTTATTTTTCCTTGAATCCCAAGAATTAACAGAATGCCCGAAGTATAGTTTGTGATCCATAAATATTCATCATACATATGAATTTCTGAATAAATAATTATTGGAGGAAAGACCACCAATTATTTAGAAAATTATTTTTTGAGGAAAAAAATTCCTTCCCTATCCCTGCCCTTTTTCTTTACAGAATAAGGCATCTGAAGCCATACTTACTGGCTTCATAACCCAATTCTACCACTTGAAAATTATGTACTTGGGCAAGCTAACAATTGTCTCTATATCTCAGTTTTCTAATGGGTAAATTAGAATTGTTGTGAAGATTAAATGAGTTGATATTTGTAAAGTACTTAAAATAGCATCTAGCACAGAGTAGGTGCTCAATAAATGTGAGCTATTATAATAGATAATGACCTTTCTTTTACTGACTCCAGAAGCGGTGTATAACACTGATGTTTTCACGTCCATTATCTCAGTTACAATCACTATAAATGATATGCGTGACAGGTATTGTTACCCCCACTCTGTGGATAAGGAAACAAAGCTTAGGGAGATTAAGTTACTTGTGCATGAACATACCTCTTCTGGTAAGCAGCAGAGTCACATGTGAAACCCGGCATCCTGACCCTCATTGCTGTGCTCTTTCCCTTCACTGCACCTGTGAAGTCCTCTGGGTTATGGGAGGAAGTCCCTGGAAAGCTTTGGAACAGAAAGACATTTAGGAAGATCTTATGGAATTCATTTAATCCTCACAACAATTCTGAAGGTTAGAAAGCCTGAAGGCAGAGACATTAGCTAAGACAGTATTTTCAGGAATTAAAATGTGTGGGTGAAGCCCTGAACCAGAACAATGGAGAAGGGAATGGGGAGGAAGGGATTAATAAGGACACAATTCAAAGGCTTCTTTAGCATAGCTGGACTCAGGTGTTTTTAGTCTTATTTGCTTGCATGGGCTTGGGGTGAGGGTAGGGGGTTCCTCTGTTAGTAGTATTGGGGCATTCAGCCTAACCCTGCTGATTAATAAGCTATGTTAGCTCAAACTACTTTCTCAAGAACCAAGTGTTTTCGTAGCCTTGGGGCCATACACAGAACTGACCCAGAGCCCATTCTCACACTCTGGTTGAGGACCACCCCTCAAATTATGGCCTTTGTGTCACCTTTATTCCAAAGCAAACCACATTTATCAAACAGAGTGAGTCTTCAACAGCAAGATAGTTGCATCTAATGAGCTTTTTCAAACCCATACCTATATTTGTGCAGAGTTGATCTTGTTACTGATTCTGAGTACTACCTTGCAACCAACACCCATTAACAAAAATTCAAAGCAGGGCTCATTTACCACTAGAGCTTCACCAAAGGGAGTCAACATTCCTCAGTCTAGCCCAGGCTCAGACCTGAATGATGATGGGTTTCAGCCATCAGGGAGCCGAAAGCCATGAAATCAACCAGTCAGCCATCAGCAGAGTGACCTAGCAGGGGCAGATTGGAAAACTGAGAGTCTATTTAATGTATTTCATTCTATTGCTAGACAGTCAACACTCTCAAACAACTAAAGAAAATCCAAGAGAAGGAATTGAAGGCAAGAATGTCTGCCAGGAGTGGATACAGCATACAGAGGGGCCTTTCCTCTACTCTCCACTCCCTCATATTTACTTATCTTAACAACTGAACTGTGAGATTCATGGAACTCAGATGTCGCTTTCTGGGGTATTTGACTTGAGTTTTAGGATGCCACTCCCTGTCTTGAATGTAACATTTAAGCAATAATTATGTCCTTGGAGTGGTTTTCATGAGACATCTGGATTGTGTGGTTTATAATATGAAAAGGAACTCCCACACAGAACTATACTTCTCATAAGTCAAGATTTCTTTTATCTTTTGGCTCTTTGCTCTGCATAAAAGCAGTTTACCACCCAAAGGGTTGAAATCTTAAAGTTCCTGTTGAGGTGGTTTCCTTGCACCTTCGTGAAATGCCCCATTGAGGGAATGCTTGATTGGCCCTGTATTTCTTGGCTGCAAATTAAAACCTACATTTCCTTCATCCCGGGAGTTAATTTTGAAAATATGGCTTTCATTTAGAGTTGTTAATTCAGATAAGCATTCTTAAAGCATTTAAGAATGTACTTGAAATTAGTAATAGGATCAACTCTGTACATGGCTTCAGACAGACTGGTGGAATGACAAGGAGTGGGAGTAAATGTGCCCACCATTTACTGGTCTGATAACCAGAGGATGGAGCTGGGAGCCAAGGAGAGCACTTCTTTCAACTGTGCCGCTACCTTCATGACTATCATGCGTGGCTACCAGGAAATCATGTAACATCTTTGTATTAGCATTCTTCCAAGGCATAATTTAATCAACATGCATGTAATCTCCAGGAAAGAATTAATAACCACTTAAATTTTTTTTCAGTATGTGTCTAAAGTGTCTTTCATTGCTTTATGTACTTTGGCATGGGATTTAAATTAGCTGGAAATCATAAAATCTTGAGCATTCAGAGCTGGAAGGAACCTAGCTAAAAATCCTCAGATTAAGTGAGGAAATATATGTAAAACCTCTCACACAGGACCTGGCACATTGTAAATCACCAGTAAATGTTAGTTGCTGCCTGTTCTCCCCAAGTGAGGAAGAAACTAAGAAGTTCAGTGAATTGCCCAGGGCCATATAGTGGGAAGATGCCAGAGCCAGGATTAGGATTCCTGTCTTCTTAGTCATAGTGTAGTTCTCTCCACTGTGCTATTCAGGGCTGGAAAGTATTAACTGCTGTGGCCATATTATCCTCCCTATTCATATCACCAGCCTCAGCAGCCAGGCACAAAACTTCTTATGATTCTTCCATGAGTTAGGGACTGCTGAAAACTGGGCAACCGAGACCATTTTCCTCTGGCGTACATCATAATTTTCCAACTGGCACTCTCATGCCTTACCAGCAATAATGCGGTTTCCAGAAGTCATTCATTCATTTCAAATGTATTGAGTCTCTTCATTGCACCAGATCTTGAGAATAAGTAATAAACCAAATAAATGTAGTCCCTGTCTTTCCAAAGCTTGCACACAGAGATGCTTATTGAAATTAACAATTCTAAATAAAAGCTGCATTTCCAAAATTAACTTCCGAGACAAAAGAGTTTGTGTGATATATGTAATTGCCAAGAAGTCATTGAAAGAACTGGGTGCTGTGAGAAGCTATGCTATTAAGAGAGTAGAGATTTCCGACATTTAGGGTCTCCTAGTTCAGTGTCTTCTTTCACAAAAGCCTTTTATTTTTTTGGATTTCAGGAAAAGAGACGAAATAAAATTATTTAAAATGTATTATTAATCCAATGAATATGTTTTGAATGCCTACATCATACCAAATATCATGCCAGATTCGAAGGTTACAGAGATGCACAAGACTTGGTATTTGCTTAAATTTCTCACAGGTGTGTTGAAGAGACAGACAGGAAAATGGGAATTGCAATACAGGATGAGCAGAGCAATGACGGGGTAGGCATAGGGAACCACAGAGCCGGGGTGAGGACCACTCACAAAAGAGAAGGCTCCTCTGAGGAGGGGATGCCTGAGCAGAGTCCCGGACACGTGAGAGTTAGGCTCTCAAGGGAACAAGAAAAGTATTCGTGTCCAAAGACACAGCAACAACAGAGCATGCTGTGCTCAGGGAATAGTGAGTAGGACATAGAAACAAGACTGCATGTTTAAAGGAAACCAGATAAAACATTCATATAGAGCATTTGGTTCCTCAAATCACTTTCACATCAGTGGTTTGTTTAATCAACAGTCCTTTAGCATTTTGGAATTCCTATTCTTTGAGAGGCAAGTTGGTGGGTCCTGCGGAGGATATAAGCGAAGGGTTGAGAACTGGATCCTGCCATCAGCAGGTCACAGATTTATTAGTGGAGATAATATGTGCCCCTGTGAATTATAATATGAGGACATAGAAAAAGCACCATGGGAGATTAGAGGAGAGAGCATTTTCAGCTAAGAGGATGGCATCCTTTGGAGAAGATGGCACTTAATCTTTCATGGGCAGGTGATATTTAGTGTGGGGGGAGCTTCCTTGACAGAGAATGGCCTGACTAATGGCTGGAAAGGGGAAACACATGTTCAAGGAAAAAATAAGTGATCAACTCTGGCCTTGGAAAAGTATGGGTCAGCTCTGTCCCTCATTCACTCATTCGTTCATTCTTCCATTTAATAAGTATTTACCGAGTGCTTGGCATATGGAAGATCATCCTAGGTGCCAGGGATCAAGTAGTTAACAAGTTGTTCCCTGCCCACATAAAGTTGACATTAATCTAAGGAGTCATCTATTGAACACTAATTAGTGCCTATTTTAATTACAATTTTAAAGAGCTACATAGGAGAAGTTCAAGATGCATTTGAGCACAAGGCCAGTCAGTAACTTGAGATGAAGTGTCAGGTGGGGAGGAATTCTAACAGATAAGCTGGAAAACTATGTTGAGGCTAGAGAGCAAAGGACTTCGAATGCCAGGGTAAGGAGTTTGGAATTTAATCTCTTAATTTTCCTGAAAAGCATCCCTTGGTATGAGTGCAGGTGTTATCAGCAGAGAGTATAGCGGAACAAACATGCACTTGGGATTCAGAAAGACTTAGCTTTGAATACTGGCCGTGCCAGTTATAATCCATTTGCTTCAGTATGTTTCTTAACCTCTCTGAGCCTCAGTTCTCTTATCCTTAAAATGAGATGATGATACTCCCAATGGAAGCTAAGATGTACCTAACACAGTGCCTAGCAGAAAAAAGCAATCATTGGTTGATCATTTCCCTTCTCTTATCACATGTGAAAATTTCATGCCACCTAGAGTTTAAAAGTACCTTGCTAGGATTACCCAGCTAATAAATTAGTGGTCGATGTAGACCCTGTCCATAGAGCCTGCAGCTACAAGGTATGATTACCTAGAAGCTAGATTACCCCTAAGGGATCAGAAATTTATTTGGAGCCCTTAAAAACCAAGGGGAATGATTTTGTGGTCCCACCAGTAGGAAGACTCTTCCTTAGCACCAACTTTGCAGGCCATTCTCTCGCATTTGGAATTTGGCTTCTTTCTCAACTTTACATGTGCAAGGGAATTCATAGAGGAGTAAAAAATATACATTTCCAGGCCTTATCCCCAGATATACTGAAATAGACTCTTTAGGGATGAGGAAAGGAAACGAATAGTTCCCCCAATGAGTCTGATGCTTGTCTGTGTTTAAGAACCACTGGCCTAGAGTCCACTTTCTTACTAATTACTAATATCCTGTTGTTCCTTAGTGGGGCAGAGAGTCCTTAATTCAAGTAGTTCTGAAAATGTGGTCCCCAGACCAGCACCACCTGGGAACTTGTTAGAAATGTAAACTCTCAAGCCCACCCCAGGCCTACTGAATCAGAAACTCTTGGGGTAGGGTCCAGCAATGTGTTTTAATAAGCCCTTCAGGTGATTCTGATGTACCCTAGGGTTTGAGGGCCCTGCTCAATACTATTCCTGAGAGGTTCTCCAGCGGTGCACTGAGAATCCAGAAGAGTCTGGCAGAAGTTCTGCAAAGCATGAAAGAGATGGTGAGAACAGCAAAATTGAGGGAGTGGGGACAGAGAAAGAAAAGGAAAGAAGAAAAAATGAGGGGCCCCAGTATTAGGGGAACATGGGTTGGTTTGTTTCATTTGACCCCTGACATAAGCAGGCTTGTTATTTAATATGATGTTCCTCCATGAATCGTCTGCTCCCTAAGTTGAGCAAGCTGGATTACTATTCCTGGTGGCTGTATGACCTTTGGCAGGCGACTTCGCCTCTCTGGGTCTCAATTTCCTGAGATGCAGAAAATGTGAGGTTGAACTGATTGATCGCTAAGGATTCTATATAGCGCTGCCCAAAGGAATTGGCATCCAGAGTGATGCCCAAGCAAGTGTCTCCTCTTCCGAGGGCTTCTTAGAACAGCAAAACCAACAACACAGGGGCTGGTTAGGGATCTGGAGTAAACGACTTCCTTCCTGGAGAGTTGGAGCATCCTGGGACTGTGCAGAGGGAAATTCCAGGCCATCTGGGTGTGAGAGAATTGCAGTCATCTACCCGCGTTACAGGAGCCTGCCTTCGGGAGATAGCATTATGTCACTCGATAGCTTATTGTGACCTGCAAAACTCCTCAGTAATAATGGGGGGGAGTGCAGGGGGTACAAGGTGGGGAGAAGTAATACACAGACTCAGCCCTTCTTTTCTCTGTCTCCACAGGAGGTCCCCAGCTGCTAGTCAGCCTCCTGTCTCCAGAGTCAACCTACAAGGTAGGCCATGTCATGAGGTCTATCTCGATGTTTCAAAATAATAAATGTGCCTCTTATGCCAAACCATTTTTAGAATAATAGCATTTGTTTGCATATTGTGGCCCTCAAAAGGATTTCTCTTGGTGACTTTTTTCAAAGGCATACAGGAGCTTTGCTTTACTCGATGTAAAACCAAATTAAAAGCAGTGTTAAATAATTTACCCATTGCATACCCAGGCTTTCAGAATGTGATAAATGTGTGGTAATGCTGCTTCCCAGAAGAGGAGCCGGAGGCAGAGCTGTATTGATAGCGCAACTGGACCTCAGCTTGTGGCCTCAGTGAACTCCAGGGGCCCTAACCTCAAAGACCCTGAGGTGCCCCACATTGGCCTGAGGGCCCCAAGGGTATGTTAGTGGTTTTCCCCTTAGCATCAACTATAGATCCCACTTGAATTTACATCCTTTCCAGGTGTGAAACCAAAGGTTCTTTCCAGGTCACAAATCATTTCTTTTGGAGATCATCCAACTTTGTTCCTCAAAGGTGTTTTTTTCAGAATCTAATTTCTCATCTTTCAGTACAGTGCACCTGCTTCTCAGGGAGCTTTGAGAGCTGCAGAGAGGAAGGGCCACCTTCAAGGAAAACCATGGAGATGTGTTGAACAGAAATTCGTCTTGAAATAAAATGCAACCAGTTAGATGACATTTTTAAAGTCCAAATGGAGTTTTTCCCCCTGAACCTGTTCCCCTGTATTGTAGTAGTGGATCTGAGAAAAACCACAGGAGAAAAAAGTTAAGATGAACTCATACTGAGATCACCTAACATCTTACATTGCCTTGTATACTTTCCTATTTCCAGCAGTGCTATTCCCTTCACTGTATACTTATCATCTTCCTTACTTGGATGTTGTGTTCTCTTGCTAGTATCATGACCATAAGTATAGTGGAAGTATTACAAAAGCCCAATATCTAAAAGAAAGGAACAAAGGCAGCAGATCCTATTGGCTCATTGGCTTCTGAAGTATTTATGATACATGCTTTTAAAAATATTTTATAAGAGAAAGATTGAGAACAAGAATAAAAGTGAAAGAAAGATACTGAGTAAAGATGAGTTTATTCTACAGCCTTATGATATGAAGTACAAAGAAGTGATTAATACTATTTCTATGGACTACCAAAACCTGGAGTGCAGCATGTACTATTTCCTTTAGAAATTTTACAAAAAGAAACAAAATAGAGTGTTTTAACATATAACTGGTGTTACATACTTGGAGATCAAAGGAGGTAGTTTTGAAACCCCTATCATTTCATCGTATTGGCTTAGGCAATGTTGCTCACATTTCTGTTAGCCAAATTTACTGAAATGCTTTTGATATCAATTTGAATATTAAGACTATGTTTTTTCTTGTAATAAATATGACAAACATTAAGAGAATATGTGATATTTATGGTTCTATAAATTAACTCCCTAGCCAAAGATGTGTTTGGAAAGATCATTTTGTGATTATTGGCACAGTAACTGCAGCTTGGCAACTAGAGATTCTTTTGATAAATTCTTTTAAAACAATGGAGCAAAGAAATGACAATACCACTTAGGCAATTTGTTTTCATCTGCCTTTGTGACAAACAACAAAAAATCCTGGCTTTTCACTGAGAAGAGAATGTAGAGATACCAATTATTACGTAATTATAGGTTTCAAAATCTTCTTAACGTTTAACCACAGTTAGAAAAGGAAGGAGGAGACACACATCCCGTGTTTTGTTCTTATTATCAGCTTAAATAAGTCAGGCAGATTTTTCCTGTTATTTTAATATTTATCAGCATATGACAAAGAGGTGTGTTTAAATAGAAACTTTAAAGGGGAATGAAAAATAAATGGCTCAGAGCAAACAGAATTGAGAACTGGAGTGCTGCTTTAAAATATGATTTTTCATGATAGTAAGATCAGGTTTTCATGTGTCAATACTGAAGCTGAACTCATATATTTCAATTGAAATCTCAGATAAAAGGTACAAGAAATCCATGATAATTTAAACAGATTTAGAAACAATCCAGTTTGTTAAGAAACACTGACTGATGTAGATAACTCTATTCTTATATAGAAACAAGTTTGAGAGAGAAAGAACCAAATCTTCTTAAAAAGCTTCTTTTTTTTTGAACACATAAATGAAGGAAATGCAATTCATTCTGAGATTCTAATTGTCAGAAACCATGGTCAAATTGGTACATTTACTCTGACAAATTGATCATTAACTGAAATATTCAATGGGGAAATCAAAGGAAATCTCTCAATCTGAAATACCTTTCTTCTCACTGTTGAACCAAAGTTATTCTCAGCTCTCATGGCTGAACACAAATTTCCTTCTTTTGCAAAGACATCTTATTTTTTTAATCGGCATAATTGCTTCTTTTATTTTTGCTATGGTAACAATTTAATTCTAGGATATACTTTAATCTGTGCCTTGTATGTCTCTTCCATTGGAGATTAAGCTCCTGAAGACAGAAGTTGTACCTTGATCTCTATTATTCGTGGTGCTTTAGCACAATTATTTTCACATAGTAGGAACACAGTAAGTGTTGAATCGACCAGGAGAACTATGTAAAATTTAGGGACTTTACCTGAGGAAAATGCTCATAAAATTAAATATTAATGACACTAAGAAATGCTTTTTATGTGAACTTCTGATTGTCTAAATCATTATGTGGGGAGTGTGGCCTATGGATAGCTACTATCTATTGTTCCAGTCCACTGAGAATACATTGTAAAACTCCCTGTAATTAAAAAAAAAACTTTATTTATTTTCAATTATTACTTCTTTTCAATTAGAGCTTTCTTCTAAGTAGTTCTTATTTCTCATTTCTTCAGATATAACATTTGTGAATTTGTACTATCACTTGAGAACAATTTAGGAACATTTTTCTTTATAAACAAAGAATTAATTGAGGGGACAAAAGGAATGTGAAAGTAGAAAAATAGACATATATGACTATAATTTATGCCATAACATCCTTTATTTTCTAAATATTACACTATTTGTGTTGATTTCCAAAAGTTATACAACAGCATTCAATGATAAGGAATTTATTTTAATCAAAAATGCCCAGTCTCAGTTTTTAAAATCTGATCCTTACTCTGTGGATGGCTAAGCTTTTGGTAACCACCCAAACTTGTCTGAATTAGCTCCGTAGGCTTACTCAGGGATTACAATGAGGTCATTTTTGCCTATTGGATGAATATGTTCATTAAGCTTAATTGCCTGTCAAAAATATACAGAAAAAACAAACACCTTCCTTTCCATAGAGAGGATTACCTAATAAATCCACTGCTCCCACTTCTTTGAAGACTTTGAGGTTCAGGAGGCCACTACTGATTCTACTTTGACTACAGAGATTTGTCTTGGCAGGACTTCTAATGAAATTCTTATTGATCTTCTTGCTTATGGCTTTACCTATTTCCTGAGTTTGAGATTGAGGTGGTACAGACTGTTTATTAAGAGAGTAGAATTGTGTTTTCTTTTACTTCCTTGAAGTAAGTCAGCCAGAAAAAAAATTGATCTTAAATTCTCAAAAATGTCCTATTTTTTCCCCTTACATTTTATTTTAACCTCTAAAATGTTCCCTTCTGCTTTGGTGTATCTTTTCTTCATACATCTGGCTTCTATTTCCAGTATATGGCACATGGGAAGGTTATCACCATGAAGATAAAATAATGCAAAATAAGGTTAACGTGAAAGGTTAAACTTTAAAATTAAGATATAACAGAGCTATGTGGAGTCAAATTGAAGAGACAGAGTTGTTCTAAGGTTGGGCAAGAGTGGGTTGTACTCAATTAATGGTAATTTTAAACCTAAAATATAATGTATCCGTCAGAAGAGAGTAGGTAGGTTAATCATCCATGAAGGCGGAGAAAAGGAGAATTATAGAAGCAAATGTTGATAATGCCCATCTCAGACAACTAAACACTGCCATTTCCTTGGCTTGGTGTAACTATCTATAGTAGGGAAGAACTTGCTTATCAAGAAACCACTGGGTTTAAAATGGCTTCATATTTAACTTGCCTCCAGGGGAAAACGTACAGATAATTTGGTGTCAATATCTGGCTCTCTTGACATCTGTATTTCTAACAAAAAATAAATAGACTGTTCCCACATGAGGATTCTGAGATGCAATGCTGACCATCAATTCTTAAAGAAATACATTTTCCCTGGTGGTAAGCTTGTCAGACTTAGCAAATAAACTATAGCATGTCTTGTCAAATTTGAATAATTTGGAGCATAGCTAAACTAAAAACTTATTCATTATTTGCCTAAAATCAAACTTAACTGGGCACCCTACATTCTGCCTGGTAACCCAAACTGGTGAGATCCCGTGGGAGTGGCCAACTTGCCTAACTTACAAGACATCCTTTGATATTACACCAGTGTGAGTTAATATTTGAGAGGTATGCAAGGCCATGTACTTCATAGGGTTTATGATTCTTTTCCACCCATTATCTAATTGGACCTTCAAAATGAATATTTGCCTGACTTGGTCCCCATGACTATCATGTGCTGATTGTCATGAGAACGATGAGGACCTATGACGTCTAATCTACCTTCTTTACCTGCTGACTGCTTCTCTTACTGGATGTTCAATTTCACATCATTTCATTAGCTATATGCATTTTATCCCTTGACTGTTACCTTGAATTCTCTCTCCAATATCACCTTCAAAAAGCCAATCATTCCATTTGCTTCTTGAGTAATAAGGAAGTGCATTGACACAAAATACTTTTCCTGGGAACATAACAAATGGAAATAGAGGTTCAGAAATAAACGTAGCCCAAAGTAAGCTTTTGAATTTGGCACATTTTGAGTATAGGTTTTTTTCCAATTCAGTTCTTTCTTCCCTATCTTTCTCTAAGTATTGAAGATCCCAATGAGTATTGCTCCAACATTTCTTTACAAATCTTCTTTCAAGAAAAGGCCCTTTAGCTCAAGTAACCTGACACAAAAAGCACACATTATGGACTTAAGCTAAATGAATACATGAGGGTAGCTTTTAAGAAAGAATGGTATAGTAGTACTTTTGCTATTGAGGG